CAGGTAGTGAATTATCAAGGAATGTATAAGCTTAAGCGATTCGCATCGTGAATACAAGGTCTACAGTAGTGGCACTTCTGGTTGGCTCTCTAACGTACTGAGTCCAGCCATTGAGGTGAATACTTGAGATGATTTCCTCAATCTCCGCAGTGTTTCTGAGTGTAGGCAGCATCCAGTTAACATATGGTAGGTTGAAACCTCCACACATAATTTTGGATTTGTATGTAGTGCTGGAAACAGCATTGATCATATCAATTGGTTTTTGGGTTTCATGTTGAGTAGTTCGGGGCGGCCGATAGGTAGAACCCACTAGAAGATCAATAGATAGGGTCACTAGCCATTGTATATCTTCTAAGCCATTGGACACAGGTTGATCTGGGGGAAATGTAGTCAGGTTATTTTGAGGATATATGGTACAGCCACCACCACGTTTGTGTGAACGATCCTTGCGGAAAAGCTTATAGTCTAAAATGTTAAGCTGAGAATCACTAATTTCTGACTTGCACCAATTTTCAGTGATAAAGTCAATATTGGGGGATCTCATACACATAAGTGTCGCAAGTAGATCTAATTTGACTAAAAGAGAACGAATGTTAATGAGAACAGATTTGAAAGACATTGTTAAATTGGAATGAAAGTGGTGGGTAATGTTTGTTTCATCGTCATTGTATCTGAGAAGTGTGTGTTGTGGGGTAGCTGAGGCACACTGAGCTCTAGATCGTACGGGATTGAATGAAGTACATACTCCATCTTGCAACTGTGTTATCTTCCAACTATCTGCTATTTGCAGCTGTTCTGAAGATAGGGTGTGTTATCGCCATTATGGAGGATCACACAGACTTACAGAATGAGCTGGACAATGTGTACGTATGCTCCATGGATAACATGCTTCACTTCAACACCATAAATTGCAAAATTCTGAGCACACGCCACCAGAGTACTCACAACTACCGCCTAGGACCAAAAAATTCTAAAGTGAGCTTCTCAGGAGTTCGAGCTTGGCGTGCTTTTGCAAGAGCGCCCTAGGTGTTTAAGGCAGACTGAAAAGGTTTCAAAGAAAGCAAACCGACGCTTCGGCCTTCTTCCTAGAGTGTTCGGGAAGTTTGATGCTACAATCTTTCCGAAAATGCTTGGCGCGTACCTGAGGCCGCACACGAAACACACTATTCAAGCGTGGCAACCCACATCATCACGCTCGATACCGCACAACGCTAGGCGACAATGAAGATTAGGGGTTTGTCCTACCTTTCCTTCCCAATCAGGCCGAAAACGCTCAAAATACACAGCGGACGTTACAGGCGTCTAAGAGGCGATCTCATAGTGGTATGTCAGGTCCTGAAAAACTCGAATCACCTAGGCCATTCTCTATGGAAACTTAGTCAAAGCACATCAGTTTAAGCTGGTCAAGCATTACAGCGACTGGAATATCGACAAAACTTCTCCTTCCGAGTGTTCCAACCTTGGAAAGCCCTCCCGGAACACGTAATTAATGCTCCTACTTTAACCTTTTCAAAGTATACCTTGACGACACTCTGACCCAATCACATTACCTGATATAGCCTGTGCTACTCCAAACCCCATGGTGAGTCATGTATGTTACATGTTCTTTTACTGACACGGTTTATTTATTTTGCGATATTTTCCCTTGCCATCCTACGAGACATGTCAAGCATTCGCTTTCCTATCCGTCGTAGACTATTGCCCTATTGCAACTAGCAGAAAAAGAAGGAAGTGAGGATCCGCTGCCGTTTTTGGATGTTCCCTTAAAAAGGCAACATAATTCGCTGGATGAGACAATGGTGACTTGAAAGTAAATGCACACAGATCAATAGTGAAACAATCGCAGAAGCCTCACGGCGCAAACTCAGAATTATTTTCAGATGAGTACAGACAAAGTACAACAAGCCACACTTCCTGATAATTCTGAAATATCAGTTGTAAAATCTTAAAGTGATATCTATCTCGAACATGCTATTCTGGATTACTCAGAGCTTGAATAAGCACCATGACTCAAAACCACCAATTTAGCTTCTTAACAGAGGATTACATTACTCGACGTCGAACGAATTCCTAGGATGGCTTGGGTTACTTCCCCTCCCAGTGAGCCGAGTCACTTAGAAGAGAAAGAAAGAACTTAGAAATGCTTTTGAAGGATAAATAAAATGTGAATTACCTAATTTTCAGAATTCACAAACTGGAAAACGGTGCAAAACCATGGCCTAAAGCCACACAAATACGAAATCACAGACCGGTGATCCGAACGAAAATACTTCCTTCTGCTTTGAATGGAGGCCATAGAGCAGCAATTCGATCCAGTGAATGTCGGTATAACTGGAAATTCAGGGTCTTGACAAGTAAGCGATTTTCTGTAAATGACTCACTCGGGCCTGAATTCACTCGAGAAACGTTGGAGGAATGAAAATATTTGAAAACGTTTCTAATTGGTTGATGGATTTGCATTAAGTAAATCTTTTAAATTCAAATATCAGTTGGTCAGTTCATGTCACACACACTCCTTTTTAGTAGATGAATCATGAGGAACTTAGAAGGTCAGAAGTGATCTCGGACAATAAATGAGAAACAGATATCCGGAAAGAAGGCTTGTCTCTCTGGATTCGGGGAAAGTGACTGGTTTGGTGCTTTAATGCCTGTAAATGAAATATTACATTCTAAGTGTAGTCAATATTTACCTGATATCTTTAACGATGACAGTTCTGCGTCTATAGTGGAATGGTAACTATGTTTGCGCATACCTTTAAAACCTTTTTAAGAATTCATGGCTCCGGTTCGGCGCAAGTGCTGTGCGGTTGGTTACTTTCAACCAGGTAGAACTGCCACTTCGACCACATGTAAAATTGACAACAGTGTCCCTGAAATCATTTGGGTTCTTATTTGAGGAACTCCGGATCAACTACGGGCATTATAGTTGGTACCATCTGCTTTGCTGGTCAAGTAACTAGAATCAAAAAGCGTACCCAATTGATGCAATTTACTAAATGAATGACCTAATAGCGTCAAGCTTGATGGCGTCATGTCATACGTCATCGATCTGACTCCTATGTCTATGCCAAGCAAGTGACTTTACAGCGTTACCTGGAAGAAGCAAATGCTAGATATAGTAGATCGTTAATAAATTCAAAAGAAGTAACAGTTCGAAATCAATTCATAGCATTGATCATAAAAGTGGGACATTTTGCAGACCCAAGGCATGGGACTCAGTGTGATGGCCCCACTTCGTGCCACACGGTTTTTGAAATTGCACCAACTGGTGCGCATGCTTTAAACAACGCAGTTCCTTTCATTATGAGGGTAGCATTGGTCGCTGCTACCGATTTATGTCTCGGCGGTGACTTTGGGGGTTCATCTGCAGGGAACCTTTTCAAAGTCCAGCGTGACATTTCACACCAATCAGTTTCCGGAAGCAAAGCTTTAAGGGCTATGAGAAGACCAGCTGATTGCTATGTATCACATTCATACCATTCTTAGTCCGACTAAACGAAGTTGTATCGCTCAATCTATTGAGTACTATAAATTATAGAACCGGTGCCTATGAGGCTTAGCAACTAGTGTTAGGACGGCAGTAAGGAACCTAAGTTGGACCGTGCTGCTTAGATGCATTCAGACGTGCCACAAACAGGGTGCATCAGACCAAGTGAAAATAGAACGTTGCATCGAGTTAAGGTTGGGCGATCGCATTAGGCTTTCGCCTGCTGGGGGAAGTCAACTCAGCTGAGATACATAAGTAGGATTCAGGATGTATAACAACCATATCAGGATCGGTTTTACACTACTAATCTGTTAGCTTGGGCAGTACGCTAGTTTGGAACGGTTGCTGTCGATGAAGAGACCGATGTTGTGTCCGAGACATTTTTTAAAGAATTCGTTCAGTTGTACCCCGCTTATCATAATTTGCCAGTTTAGTAGATACCTGCCAGGTCTTTCTAATATACTGCAGAGAGGTGGCTTTCTTTGGTGGTGTTAAGCGCAGTTAAGTTCAACACGGATTCTCCAAAAACAATCACCCTTGTTCAACACCTGCGTTCGTTATTCAGGCCAGGAAACGAGAGTCTAATGGGTAATGCATTTAATTGTGCGTAATACACCTATTAGCGATGAAGCAAGACCAATTATTTTCAGATTCACAAGACGTATGAAATAAAACCAAGGTCTCTTTACTTCAGACAGTCCATGACCGTGAGTAGTCAGCAAATTGCTTATCGAAGCCATAATCACTTTGCTCCGCAAAGCGAATACCTGGTATTTCTTTTAGGTTGTGTTAATTTATGTGGAGACATTCACGATGATTTGCTTCCATCAGGTCTCCTTTGAAATCTCAACAAAACATTCGTAACCAGATTTCGGAGATTCTATGAAAACACCGCTCTAATTTGTAGACCAAGTAGCGGCTGTTTGATGACCAGACGAGATAAACCGTGGCTCATTAAGTCTGACAAAAAGGAGCTGTTCTCATGCCGTTAGCAAATATCCCTCATGTAGATTGACAGGTCTGCTCTCACCAAGACTGTTAAAATATCGAAATCTCCCTTCGCCATCCAGTGAATGTAATTTACATTTAACGAGCGATGCTGCTAACTCTTGTATTCAGGTGAAATGTTAGTGTCTACTGTTTGCCTAACACAGAACAAATATGCCGGTGTCATCAACTATTAAGAGGAAGGTGTAACGACAAACCGGTTCTTATCGATCCAGGGGAAATGGTTGTATACGCTAATCGGTGACAGAGTTGTGCTCACTGTAACATTGTGCTCTTAATTGGAAACACAACCGAAGGGGTTTACCGGAAGCAACAATCCGGAAGTTTTGCAACTTAACACAAAAGTACCAGCTTTACAAGCCATCCGCAAGTAAACAGCTCATCTGATTGGCCGCTCTGGCCGTTGCGCCAACTGGCCAAAGCACTACCAATGGCGTCAGGCGGACAATAACAAGGCTGTAACAAGGTTTTCCTTAATAACAGTGTCCAAATATCAGACAACAAACAAAGTCCGATCTCACCATACTCAGTTGCGTATCTTCGCGGATAAACGATTTGGCTCCTTTGGTGGTTTACCTCAGGACATATTGGTCCCTCCAAAATGCGCGAAACAATACGCGACAAGGTAGAGGAAGTGCGGAAATCTTCTAGTTCCTCAAGAAAAGCGAAGTAAGTTTATATCACAATTAAATGTTAAGCTCTGGCCCCCGCAATGGTAAAATGGCATGATAAAATTTCAATCCACTGGGAAAAGAAGGTTGGTGAATCTTTGGGATAAAATAGAATCAAAGTTATCAGAAATACGGTAAATTGCAGTGCTAGACAATGCAGCCTCATTATTTTGACAAAATAATTTAATGTGCCCAGCCCCATACATGGAATGTATTAGGTTCGTCATAGGTACGCCCAAATAACAGTTGTACATCGGGAAATGTATTAAATAAGCATATAAAAGTAATAATGACGAAATACTTCGACTTATCGTGTACTAGTGTGCTTTCTTTCTGCCCCGGGGTAAAGAATAGGCTTGTAATAATGTCAACAGTCTTCTTACTGCTTATGAAACGAAGTCAGAACGAGTGTTCAAATGTGGAGGCAATGTATGTAAGTCGGTTTGTGCGCCGTGGAGGTTGTTGGTAATCTAGCATAGACTCTTTAGCATACAGTTTGGTGGGCATTGTTTATGGTCTGGAATTGGTGTTATCTGCTTAAATTACTGCACTTCTGACCATCTAAGAGAGATAAACAAACTGAACACCATTTGTAGATTAGGTACTTCCTTATATCCACTGGTGGACTGGCGGTCTTCAATATCGGTCATAAAGCAACAGAAAAAAATTACTAAGAGATTCGACTGGACTCACTTGCAGGTAGGTAAATGGAAAAATAAACAAATTTGTTTATTTCGCGACTCTGTGAGGCACAGCCCAGTATGTTGGTCTGATCGAATTGTACGAGTGTTCCTTCAAATTTTTGATGATACAGATAAATGGAAAAAGGAACTATCAGTCCGACCCTGTAGAAGAACAGTGTCAATTACATGTTGCTGGTAGTTCATGAAGGCATTGTCATGTGGCATTTTTTGTTAGTCAAGCGCTTACATATACTCGGTAGAAGGCGTAGGCTATCATAGCAAAGTAATCGGGAGCGGCTTGAGCTTGATTGTTTCGTTCTGTAACAGAAATCAATCAATACACCAAGCATCCAGACGTATGGGAATATTTCATCGCCGTACTGGGACGTGGCTAAAGGAATGGACATCTTGTAAAGGTAGTACGGTGTATAAGTTAAACGATTTGAAAGCAGAGTAGACTGCCGTAATTTTGTCAGTTCTAACATGTTTAAAGTATGGTGAAGAAAATATGATACACGTTAGTAATTATGTGTTCGACAGTATACAGTGAGTAAACATAGGTAAGGGAGGCATGCATGTTAGGTAATAACATAATGTTTGCGACGGCCATTCATTAGGATGTGTCAGGCCTCTAGTCCTATATATTGCCAAAAGGCCTGCCAATATTTCGGGATCTGCAGCGGAGGCAGTGCTCAAACACTTATTACATTGTACATCTATCATTAATGGTACCTCGACACGAGCGTATGAGTAGCTAGAACAGAGGTAGCAATAGAAACCATCTCTCGTTGCAAAATAATTGAAAAGGAATAGGGTGACAGTTGTCGGGTTGAAGAGTATGAGTACTCGGTTGACCTTCTTCATAGGCATCTATGGGGTCATGGAGGCCTTGAAATAGGTATGTGCGCTTAACGAGAAGATATAACAGGGGTCGAAAGATTGAAAACGAGGACTCGGTTTGTTTTCTATCGTTGACTTCCATGTAGGCAGGAAAGCCTCAAGGTCGACGTGGCCGAGTAAGGAAAGAATATAACATTGGTCAGGTGGATGGAGAAGAGCACTCGGTTTAACGCTCGTCTTTAACCACCATGTTTTTATGATTGCCTTGAGGTTGACGTAGCTAAGTAAAGAGAGAAAGTGACAAATTTTCGAAGAGTAGATTTGAAAAGCTGGCCTTTTTTCTTTCTTTTTTGCCTTTGTGATGTCAAGGAAACTATTTAATGTGCGATCGGGAGGCATCACCGACATGTATTATATGCCATTTGATCCCTTCTGAGAAATCTCTCTCGGCGCTATTCAGCTTGAAAAGTTGCATAACTTTTGAGACTGTGAGAAATATTTCTAGCTGTACATGAAACATGTGAGGTGATGGGCATGATCTAATAGACAGTGGGAGACGATTCCAAAGCAATGCATATCTAATGAGGAAAAGTTTTGCATCTTGGTGCGCGAATGGGCAATCGCAAGTGTGCACTTTTTATTACGGTTAAGGTAGCGTTTATTGTGTTGTTATTGAGGAGAGTATACGGGTGTGTGAATGCCCCCAACAATTAAATCAAACAGCAGCCATATGTTTAGCTTTATTCTACGCAGGCAAATTGGGTCCAACATCAGCAAGTTGCAGCCATCAGCGTAGGTTGGTCTTTGAGCAGAGCCCAGGATCTGTCTTGTAAAAGCACCCTGAACGCGCTCTAGTGTCGCTGTGCTAATTTGTCTTGCATTACCGAATACCATACAGCAGTACTCTAACATTGGGCGCGTCCAAGTCTTGTACAGTGTTAGTTTAGCATTTGCAAAGGTAAAGACTTTGAGAAACAGTGCATTCTTTTTCTTGGTTTAAGCGACAGTATATGGTACATGTTCCGAAAAGTTAAGGCTGCTGGATTAGCGAAGTCCTACGTCTGTTACTTGGTTAGTATATGCTAAGGGTTTACCAAAGTAGGTTAGCGGTTGGAAATTCATATCACATTTGTATGAAATGACAATGATCTTTTCGTGGGAGAAATTCATTTTTTGAGTGCAACACCATACTTCAAGCGCATTTAGGTCAGTTTGTATGTTTCGAAGCACGGACTTTTGCTTCCTGTATCAAATGTGTACATAACTTTTATATCACCCGCAAACATGTTGGGTCTATCATAAACAATAATGTCAAAAATGTCATTTATGTACGTCAGGAAGCCAAGTGGTCCTAGAACGCTGCCTTGAATGATGTCACTTGTCACAGAAGTGCGATCAGATGTGTGATTACCTATCTTGACTGCTTGGGTTCTGTAGGTAAAGTATGAAGATAACCAAGAAAGTAGAGGGTCAACAATACCATACCCTGCTAAATTGGTCAAAAGCCTACCATGGGGCACTTGGTCAGATGCCTTTGCATGTCAAGGAATATGACAATATAAGTGTTGGCACTGTCGACTGAGCTTATGATGGGGTTTAGGGAATCTAGTTGGAAAGACTGACAAGAACGCTGTGTACTAAAGCCATGTTGTGATTGGCTGCTTCAGCTCCTTGAGATTAGAAACTGGCAAGTGGTAGCTTTTATAATCCTCCCCATAACTTTAAGAAGTATGGTAGTGTGGTTAATCGTGGTAATTTGCAACATCCTGTTTTGAGAGCTTTTTATATCTTGGTACAACAAAAGCGTGTTTCCAGTGATGCGGAACAGTGCTGGCATTAATTGACAAGGTAAATATGTTCTACAAAATAATAGGGATATCCGGACCCACGTATTTCAGTATAGTTGATGATCGACTGGAGGATGTGAGTGACAGAGCGATAGCCTTTTTCCAGGATTTATCTCTACCTTAGGGCAAACGAACCAGCTGACTGCTTTGCATGGATATACATGTGAATACTTTGTAATTGAAAAAATTGAAGTGAGCAACCTTTCAGGTCATGGTGTTATGTAGACCAGCGATAGATGTTTCCGAGAATGAGTAAAATGACTCTGAGCTGGCCGCACCATAAAGTAGCTATTCTGCGTCTTTCATTAGAAACAATCACAAGGAATACCAATATCCTGCTGATAAATGTCTGGTATAGGACATTTTCATGAAATGTTTGTTTTATTGTTTCGGAAACGGCGACTCATCAGTGTTGAAAATAAACCTGAACAGCGAGAACTTCAACAATTCTCCATGTAATCCGTTTATGGTCTAAACTGAGGTCCGTTATTAGCTCATACTTATCTCACCCTGAATTTGATTTCCACCACGTTGTGCTTCGAAATCATTATCACCTCTGTACTTATGATATCATCACGTATGGGGGTAAAACGTCTGCAGTTAAATTGCCCACCTAGGCAAACAACACGAGAGTCAACCATCTTCTCATCTTATCTTTTATGCGAAATAACTAGGAAAGTTAGCGACAACAAGCACTCAAACCATTCACTGGACTGTGGTGCGTCCGCCAGTTATCCGATCTGAAGACATCGTGGCACATTACTGGGAGTCAAGATAGTTGCCTCGGATACCATGCAGCTTGAGACGGTTAATCCCACTGCATATAGTACCAATGCACGCGAGACAAGTGTGTGGAAATCACTTACTTTAGTCCTCCAAGCTTATGACTACATTCCTCCAGAGTGTCTCTAGAGGTGCATAGGCAGGTTATTCTAATCGGAATTCCGGTTCACCTTCATCCATTTATATACTATGAGATCTCACGAGGAGATCAAACCAACGTACATCATCAAGTTAGTGCTCTATGACGTAAACCGTGCCCTAATAAGTTAATCTCTCAGTGGAACACTTAAGCATAAATGTAATCGAAGTGGCTGGGCATAGTCGATGGTTATGAGGTAAAGGCGTAACCCATTCTACTGTAGTCTGTGTTTACGGCTCCTGTTCGGCCGAACTACCTTCGCCTTCAATATGCCTGCTCTACAGAAGAGTGAAGGCTACTATCGCCTTACAGGTAATAATTTCACATACCACTTTGCATATCCCTCCGGTGGAATGATCACCGTACGCTCGTCGTAGTTCACGTCACTCTTCAGTCAAGGCTGTTAAGTCAAAGCCACATATTTCTTTCGCATCTGGGTTGCGCTTTGTGTGTGTGAATGCATTCGCTGGAATATCAGTGAACAATGGTTTAACCAACCATGTCTTCGTTGCATCATGTCACCGGGAGCAACGTTATAGCAGCACGTCTTCTTATCGTGAAACTAACAAGGTGCATACTGACTGTGCCGCAGTGAACGAGATTCACTTATAAGGCTGATAGATTGGAAACAATAAGAGGGGGTGGTGGTTGCCTTGTTTAACCATCACAGACAATTGAGCATATTGGTTTAAGACGCATAGCAACA